TGAGAAGACCCAACTCTCATGCCTGGGGATCCTTTATGTAGGAATAGCACACACTTAAAACAACATACCACAGTCTAAAAGCATCATTTTTAAATATAACAAGCACTTTATTGCAATTATTCATTTTGATAAAGTTTATCTTAGGCATTACCATTTCTAAAGGATCCCCAAATCATCACTTAGGTGAAATTTTAAAATGACCCATTTCTGAGAAATGTTTAGATCCAGTGAACCGTAGTAGGTTTATGGGAGTGATTTCAAGGTAGCCAAATGAACTTGACTTTTGTTTTGAATGTGGTGGAGTTGAGATTGTTGATGCTAGTTCCATTTAGACACTATTGTAAACCTATCTTGCCTATTGTGTGAACACCAAAAGAGCCTGTTTATTTTCAGAAGTCTAGGAAAATTGTATCAGTGTGAATAAATGTATAGAACTAACCTAAAAGTGATTATTAGTAATATTTTAGAATACAGTCATTTCAAGAATTATTCTGGGTGTTTTCAATGTGCTCTGAAATGTTGGCATGTCATTTCAGCGTTCCCATTTGAATTGCTCTTGTAATATTTTTTGCACAAAAAGGACTGAGAAAAGGAGTACTTTGGTTGAAGAAAAGAAAAATGTGTAATTTGGTCTTATTTTAATGACTTCTGTGGAAACACTGGGGATGAATTTTGTTGGTTTAGTTATAATTCAGGATATTTAACAGTATTGAACAGCTCACAAAAAAATTAAACAAAAGTGGGTATTTAAAGATTAAAACACTTTCTTCCCATGTGACTGTTTTGCATATTTCCCCCACATGTCATAATTTAACACTACATTCCTTGTTTTTCTTAAATAAAATACTTTGCAGGTTGTTTTGAGTATTTAACATATTTTGTAAGCTGCCTGGGTTTTCCTAAGGAAACGACCTTTAAGAAATAGAATATAGTTTATGAAGAGATTAAGTGAAATTCCATCACCACCACCAGCAAACACTGAGGTGCTGTGTTAAGTGACAATCAAAATAGTGGGTATTTACAGAAGAATTTAGAAAGTGGTTTTAAAGAAGAAATTGCTTTGTAAGCAGTTCTCTGGGTTTCTTGAATAAAAATGGCTAAATGTATTTATTTATATTTTTAAATATCTCTGTGTTCTGTTTTCTATCAGTGATTTCAGTGTCATGTATTTAATTTGTGATTTGTTTTGTTTTGCCTTGTACTCTTTTACTAGAGAACTGGCTCTTCTAATGTGGGCACAGTCTCTAGCCCTCAGAGGACTCTACATGGGCATCCAAATCTGTTCTACTGCAGGACAGCAGTGGGAGGGCCCACATCCAGGTGCCTCTGCACTGCCCTCCTGTGCTCAACTTATTTAAGAGAAAAGTAAAGGTAACTCCTTTCACATTTGCTTCATATAGCTCCAACCTTTTTCTAGTTTTATGTCCTGCCTTTTCCATTTGGGGGACACTTTTTCTATGATTACAGCCAAAGGCCAGTATGACAGAACCAATGGCACACATTGCCTGTTTTGCCCACTTGGGAAATGTTAGTAAAACAGTCAGCATCTTCAAATGGCCCTACTATCATATCTATATGAAAATCCATTTAAAGTCTTTAATAGAGATGGGAAAATGTATCCACACTGCAAACTCTTCTACAAAAAAATGTTTGCTGTCTACTAGTATAGTGTAATGTTGTTTGGTTCTTTAAAAACAGTAACAAAACCTCCATGCACAGCACTGCTCAGTAAAGCAGTGTTTAGACATTTGAGGATACTTCTGGCTGGAATGCATTGGAACAGAATTCTCTAGGTTCCCACAGGTCAGGTACAGGGGACGCTGTCTAGCTTTTGGGATCCCTTAGAGAATGGTCATTAAAGCAAGTTGGATTTAATGATGTAAAATATGTTCCTTAACTCTGAGAGTTGAATTGAAGATGTGATGTTTTCAAATGTATGCTTTTAAATTTCTGAGGAAACAAACTGTGACATCGCTTTAAGAACAACATTCAAATGTTTCATAATATATGTTTTTGAGTTGGCCTGTACTGGTACAAATTCACTGCTGGCAATGATTGTGCCAGAACTGGTGTTAAAATGTAGGAAAAGCTGTATTATCTTCAAGTTGATGTATTATATAGCTAGACAATCATCATTAAGCAAAAAAAGAAATTGGCCAGGGAATGTCCTTTTCTCAATAGCTATGAACAGCAGCAACTTAGACCGTTCTAGAATAATTTTGAAAACTATCTTACTGTGGCGTAAGTTGGGGAAGGATCTCTGTACGGCACTTGCATATTTACTCTGTATAAAGATTGAAGCCCAAAGATGAGTTAAATTCAGTGCTGTATTGAAACCAGTTAGTGCAAAAAAGAAAAAGTTTCATCTTTGTAAATTTTTAATTGTTAACACCAGTTGGTAGCTGTAAAAACATACACCGAATTATTTCTAATGTTCTGTGTGCTACATTGCTGTCCTTACTGCTTGGTTCTTGGTTTTAAATACAATTTAGATGTAGCCTAACATTCTTACTTCTGAAATGATGGAGCTATAAATGGCTGATAATTGACATAGAATACCTCTTTTTCCTAAAGCAAACATTGAACTGAAATCCAAGCTGATTTATAAAAAAACAAGACTGACATTTTCCAAGTATTGTCTTTAGCTCAAATCCTAAATTGCACAGAAGCAGGAAGGGACAATGAATGGTTTCAACGGTGCTCTTAGTTCTCTGCTGATTTTCATGAGCTATCTGTGGAAATACAATATTGTATAAAATGTGGATCATTCTGTCACCCATTTAACATTGCCATTTTAATTTGGTGTTACAATTGTTTACACTTGTTTTTCAAAGCTATCCTTTCAGAGGTAAAAATGTGTTACTAGTCTACCTTCACTCAGGCCTCTCGCTATATGATCATTTTTCCAGGTTATGATGTGCAGTTTTTTAAAACTACATGTACTATTATAATGCTCTTTCTCATACTCTTGTAATGTATTCAGAACCTAAAATTACAGCAAAAGAGCCAAGCAGTAGCATTGTTGTTGGTTTTTTTTTAATGTAAAATAATAGGTCCAGACTTGTTTCCGTATTCAAATTTAAAAATAAAAAAATACCTCAGTACTGTTTTCAGTATCACCTGCATTTCTCAAAAAATAACACTTGCTTTATGTGGCACTTAACTTGTAAAAATTACATTATTTTGGATTTTAAAGAGAAGAGTATTAAATATTTTAAAATCACTATCAATGAAATTTTTCTTTTATTCAGCAATGGAGTCTACCCACATTAATGATTTCTACCTTGCAGCTTAGATCTGAGCTACCAAATTCAGTAATGTCCTGTTACAAGATTGTGGTGCCTCAGAAAGCCATGCTGTTATTCACACGTTAAGCTAATCCTAAAACTAGGCTGCCTGCATTGCCAAGTTTGGGCCATGATGGTACAAGCTGCTTTCTAACAAGGGATTATCTTTCTGTTCTTGGAAAAGATCATAATTCCTCACTTGTTCTGTTTGTATCTACTGAAGAGAATGATGGTGCAGTCTGGGGACTTAACCTGAAATTCCTTTATAGTACTTTAGTCTAATTAGCGGACATTATTTTCTACCTTTGTAAAGAGTTACCATAAAGTTTCAAAACGTAACTTTTTTGTCAGTGTGTGCTACTGCTACTTTTTGGCTGACAGCTACTTTTAGCTCTCTTCCCAGTAGGGGTTAGCTCTCTTTCCCACAAAGTTACTACAGAATGGTGGCTGCATTTACACTGCTGACTGCTGGGTGATTGCATTATATGTAAGATTAGATTCTTTCTATATCTCTTAAGTTACAAATGTACTATCTACTGTGGACTTTTGTAGTAGCTGTCACACAAGGAACATGTGGGAGTTTCTTTAGAACTGTCCTTTGGGTTTAAAGAGGCGTTTAATGGCAATGTTACTGCATATCTATACTAATGAAAGGGCAATATGCTAATTAGGATGGATGTCTTCGGACCACCATCCAGACAAAGCTACAGCGGCTGCCTGAGACTCAGGCTACCCGTGGATGGCGGCTGCCATTGCCCAGGGCCGGCCCGAGGCTCAGGCAGCCGCATGTGTGGCTGCAAGACCCTAGGCTCAGGCAGCCATGGTGGCTGCCAATGGCAGTAGCAGCAGCAGTGGGTGATGGGGGCGGTGCCTTCCCCTGATCTGCCCGGTTGCCTCCTGCAAAAGGAGAACAGACTGTGGCTTAGGCTGGGGGCCAAGGCAGAGGCGGTTAGGGGCGATCAGACCAGCAGGCAGGCAAGCGGTTAGGAGCCAGAAGTCCCGAATTGTGAGAGGGATGTCCATCCCAGGATTGGGCCTAACAGACATCCCCTGAGGTGTCCCAGATTGGAGAGGGTGCAGGCCGGGCTGAGGGGACCCTCGATCCCCCAACTCCAGTGCACGAATTTTGTGCACCAGGCCTCTAGTGGTAATATAACCTCAGGCTGGGAGAAAGCAGTTATGCTGCTTGGATGGAATAGAGTTAGTAGTCAAGTTAAAAAATACTTATATGACAGCGAGGGAGCCATGATTAAGGGCTCTAGAGTTAAACTGATTTGACTTTCTAGTCTATTCTGTAACCTTGGGTGAACTCCTTTTTTTAACCTTAAATTAGTACCTACCATCTCATAGAACTATGTGAGGGTTAAGTAAGTGCTTTATTTTTTTAAAAAAATATATTTTATTGATTTTTTACAGAGAGGAAGGGAGAGGGATAGAGAATTAGAAACATCGATCAGCTGCCTCCTGCACACTGCCCACTGGGGATGTGTCTGCAACCAAGGTACATGCCCTTGACCGGAATTGAACCTGGGACCCTTGAGTCCGCAGGCCTACGCTCTATCCAGTGAGCCAAACTGGTTAGGGCTAAGTAAGTGCTTTAGAACCATGCGTGGCCTGTTATTTTATATCAACTTTAGAAACTAATCTATAATTCCTAATACTACTTTGATAAACTAAAAAGTTATAAACTTGTATGACAACAGGGAAAACAAGCACTGGTCATACCACTTTTATTTACATTGTATCTGTTACACTGCTTATTCAATATAGAAAAAAATACGAATACACTCATTGTATTCTCCTTTAATTTGGTAATTTCACATTGTCAAATATTGACTCTTTTATATTGGGTTTCCCACCCAATTTTTTAAAAAGTAAGAATGGCCTGGCAAACAATTCTTGTCATATTATTGATATAACAATACAGCTGTCCTTTGGTATTGAGGGGGTTGATCCCAGGACCCCTTCCCTCAACCCAAGGACACTCAAGTCTTTTATACAAAATGGTGGAGTATTTTCATGTAACCTACTCACATTTACTTATAATCATTTCTAGATTATAATACCTCATACAATATAAAGGCTATGTAAATGATATACTATATTTAAGGAATAATGACAGGAAAAGTCTGTACATATTCAGTACAGACACAACCATTCATTGTAGGCCTAACAACAGAATATACATCAGCAACAATGTAACATTTTTTTCAAGTATTTTTGATCAGTGGTTGGTTGAATTACTGGATATGGAACTTGTGGAAGAGCTGACTAATTAGTACACTTTTCTTGCTCTTTTTTATTATTTCTTTAAACAACCTAATTTTGGAAAGACTTAGGATTAAATGGCTGCTTACTGGCATGAAGGAAAAATTCTAAGATAAACATCTTAAAGCACCTCAGTGATTCAGGGAAAAAAAAGGTATGTATTCCTTATAAACTAGTCAGTGCTGAAAAAGAAACTCAAATGGTAGACCCCACTGCACAATGGTTCTGTATATACTGCCCCCCTACCAAAAGCAAAAAAGGTCCTTAAAACAAAGACCATATTAACATGATTATCCTGGAGAAGAGAAAAATCCACACTTAGACGTCAGGTTTCTTTTAAAAATCCATGTTGCAAATAGAATCAATGATTATTTCTTTTGGACATCATAACTCATTGCTACAAAATACAGTATTTTCCATCACTTTTTGTTTCAATGTACACTATGTACATAAACACAAGAGTTACATGAATAAAGAGCTTCTTAAAAACCAGAATCAGGACTTATAAATAGTGCAGAAAATGCGAATGCCAAAAATACGATGCCTCCTATGATTGTCACTGCAAGAGAAGAGAAAAAAGTTAAATAATGCAAAATTCCTGAGGAAGCCAAGATGGTGCCCATTATTTTTCCAGTCAAGTATATTAACCTTAAAAACAAATTAGAAAGCTTAGACCAGTGGTTCCCAACCGTTTTTTGGCCATACCCCACCTAAGCATCTCTCAAATCCTGATGCCCCCTGTGACATATAATTCTTATTATTCAAAAAGTGAACTCCTATTCACATGGAGGAAGCCTAAAAGGCCATTAACTTAGTCTAAACAAGCTTCCAAAGAATATGGCATCCATGAAAGAAAAATAAAATAATGAAAGGACATCTGAAGTACTGAGGAAGAAATCGCTAAGAAATTGTTAAAAAAAAAAAAAATTGAAGTGATAGGAAAAAATAGCAAATGAAATTTCAAAACATAATAGAGAACTGAAAAGCATAAATATGTCACTATATTGTATATACTGTATATGAGGCCCCTAGGACCGTAAGAAATGCAAAAAATTCAGTTAATAACTCATTCTTGAATTGCCCCCCTTAAAAGTCAAATTGCCCCCCCTGTGGGCTGTGTGCACCACATTGGGAACCACTGGCTTAGACCCCATTTCCACAGCAAAGAAACACTTAACATGCCTGACTTTGAACAGTAAGAATGAGTGTTTCCTCCAGCACTGCTTTGAGAAATGATAGAACTGTATTGACAAGCAAAGTAGAATTCATCTTAAAACCAGTTATAAAAGAGCATATCCAACAACTTCTGACTAGCAAAGAGCCATCTTTCGGGCCTACCAGGTACGTATGAGAATTTCAACAGAATCAGAAAATACAGTCTTTACCTATGGTTCCCAATCTTGTAAGACATATTTTTAGGACCAAAAGTTCTCATATTTCCACATGATGACTGTTTTACTGCAAATTAATCTTAACAAAAAGCTACCATGAATCCAGTAATGCTTATGGATGAATTTGTATTTTACATCTACACATGCGAAAAACAGTCCATGTTTGCAAAAGCAGGGGCAACACAATGGACCTCTTGAGAGATTTTTATTACAAAGACCAAGTCTACTCCAGAAGTAAAAACATTTAAATAATTAAAATAATCTGCCCCTTTCTTTTCTGAGCTCTCTCAGTGATTCCAAGAATTAAGACATGGCATTGTCTTTGTAATTAAAAGAAAAACAAAACGTACCAGTTCTGACAGAGATTTTTTGTGCTATCATTCTTCCTCCAATTACAGCCAATCCAGTGCATAAGCAGTGTCCCACTGTCCCTCCCACAGCTACACCATAGGGGTCCTGGAAACAAAGCAACATTAATTTAAAACCAGGGTTGAAACTGCTATCTGAGAAAGTAAGCACTGAAATGGAGGTCAAAACAACTCAAAAAAGCACAAAACCATTCTAAAAATTACGATGTAGATTTATGAAACATGTAATAATAGCTGCTTGAAGGAATATGTTTCAGTTATACTAGGACTAGAGATAAAAGAAAAAGTGTAAAATCAAAACCCTAACTCAATCTTTCAGCTGTTGTTAAACTTAATTCACAGACATTAGTTAGCTCAGTGTTAGGGCGACTTCTCTTCCCGAAGGCAACATCCGTTTGTGAGGAAACTTGGTAACCTTTACAGTATAGTCTGACTATGCTTCCTCCGAACAGAGACCCTGCACCCTATTCTCCACTGTGTCCTCAGGCACGGCACCCAAGTGTCTCAGTGACAGTTCTATGGATAAATAATACCAATATGATTAAAAAAGGGGAAGCAATGGAGAAGGGGTTTATGGATGACAACAGGATTTAAAGTAGAGAGTGTCGCCCTAGCTGGTTTGGGTCAGTGGATAGAGCGTCGGCCTGCGGACTCAAGGGTCCCAGGTTCGATTCCGGTCAAGGGCATGTACCTTGGTTGCGGGCACATCGCCAGTAGGGGGTGTGCAGGAGGCGGCTGGTCGATGTTTCTCTCTCATCGATGTTTCTGACTCTCTATCCCTCTCCCTTCCTCTCTGTGAAAAATCAATACAATATATTTAAAAAATAAAAATAAATAAAGTGGAGAGTGTCAAAAAAATAAAAATAAATAAAGTGGAGAGTGTCAAGGGTCAGTTAAGTTCAGTGGTGAATAAGCTATGGGATTGAATATAAAAACGCTGGGAGAGAATGTTGGCAACACAGTGACGAGGAAAGCAAGACCGAAGGGATGACAGAGGAAGAGGCACTCAAAAGAGAGTGAAAAAGATGGCCAGGTAAATAGTCTCCCAAGATGAGCAAAGTGGGACCTGTTCTGAGTGCTACAATGAACTCCAAGCACTGTATCAACATTACCGGTGAGGCCAGAAACTAGAGTTCATTGGGTTTTGTAAGTAAGGAAGTAGTACCAAACCCTGTTTCCATCAGTCAAGTGCTTTGAGACTGAGGGGAAGAGAGGAAGAAGGTGGTATCTGGAAGAGAAGTAGAACTGAGGAAGGGGGAAAACAATTTTAGATGAGAAACATCTGTAGGCTAAAATGTTCAAAAATTCAGGTGGGAGAAAGGCAAAGATTTAAACTTTAAGTGGGGACATGAGGGCTAGAATCCCAGGAGGTAAGGGACTGCCAGGGAATGGGTGGGAATGAAGTAGAATGACTTCTGCTTCTAAGTGGCAGGTGAGGCTGCTAAGGAGTAGACAGTGTATGTGCAGAAACTAATGAAATGGAGATGGTTTGAAACACCTAGTGAGACCAGGAGAGTGGGACTGCATTTCCCAAAGCGTGTAGTGCAACTTCTAAAACTGGTAAGCTAGAAGATGCTTTCACTCTATTTGAAAGTGATATTTGGCCCAACTGGTGTGGCTCAGTGGTTGAGCGTCAACCTATGAACCAGAAGGTCCCAGTTCAATTCCCAGTTAGGGCACATGCTCAGGTTGTGGGCTCAATCCCGTGTGGGGCGTGCAGGAGGCAGCTGATCAATGATACTCCTCATTGATGTCTCTCCCTCTCCCATACTCTCTGAAATCAATAAATATATATTTTTTAAATTATATTTGAAAAATCACTGGATTAAATTAAATAGTTCCTTTAACAAAGGATTTTTCGGTATTTGTTATTTTCTATACTCAATCTTCAAAACAAAAAACCAGGATGTATTACTGCCAAATTCAGTTGACCCTGGAACCTTCTCATTTTTTTTTTCTTTTTTGCTTAGTACCCATTAACATGTCAAAGGACACTAGGATTCTGTGGAATCCAATGTGGGAACACTAAATTATGTTGGAAGCAGAAATGATGTTCAGACTAAAATGGACTGAACTAGAATGCATGGTTTATACAAAAAATTACCAAAAAAAAAATGTTAAGGGAACAAAAACATATATCCCCATGTTGCTGGTAGTGTGGAAGATGGCTAATACTGAGTGCTCATTGTGTTGGGGACCCTACATGCATTATATTGTTTCACAGAACCCACAAAATAGGTCGCAGGAGGTGCTGTGGAAACGGGATCACCCAGCAAGGGACAAACCCAGTCAGCATGTGCCGCTAGACCAAGGTCACTCATACAGACGGAATCCTGAGCCTTTCACAAGCCACTGTGCCACTCAGATGATAGTGTTAAGAAAAAGGCAATGATTCTGTCCTCCTGATAGCCCACCCATAAGACTGCCACCTCCACAACAAAGTGGTCACTTACTTTCAAGTCCCAGTTCTGTGATCTGAAAGCCAATAAAAGAGGCTGGATATCAAGAAAATGATAGGGCAAAGCCAATAAAGTGACATTTTAAAGGAAAGTTTGTTTTAAAATATAGGAATTAAATGAAAAGCCAAATTCTATTTTTTTTTCTTCCAAAATACAGCATTTTTGAAGCTCCTCTGACAAAAGGGCCCTGCTCCAACTACCTCAGTCCGGGCCTTCAACTCCTATATCTTAACTGAAGTCTTTGTTAAGGAAGTTGTTCTTTTATAATATTTCCTAGGAGTGAAAAACATTGTAATCAAGCTAGTTATCTAAATTCTACCATCAGATAAAAATAATGTAAGTTAGCTCTGCCGGCGTGACTTAGTGCCTGAGCGCCGACCCATGTAACCAAGAGGTCGCCCATTTGATTCCATCACAGCACATGCCTGGGTTGCGGGCTTGATTCCCCAGTGGGAGCCATGCAGGAGGCAGCTGATTCATGTTTTTCTCTCATTGATGTTCCTCTCTCTCTCTCCCTCTCCCTTCATCTTTCCCTAAAATCAATAAAAACATTTTTTAAAAACACAAAAATCCCAGAAGACAATGCAATTTATCAGATAAATAATATTGGTGAAGATCAAGAAAAGCCTGAAAAGTAGCAGCACATTCTGAAAATTCCACAACCTTCTCAGCTAATATCAATAAATCTGAATATTAATAGACTTCATGTAAAACTTTACTATTATCCTCAAAAGAAAGATTAAACATTTTTAAAAAACAGGTATCTTTTAAGTAAGTAGCTTTTGATAACTACTAGTATGAACAAGATATAGAAAAGGCTAGCAGACAGACCTGCCTTGGCTCTAGTCCCTGTCCCTGCTACCCACTAATGCATGTTCTCTGACAACTCACCCATCTCTAGGCTTCAGGTGGTTCATCAATAGAGCAAAGGCTAGAAACATGATCTGAGGTCTTTTAGGGCTTATCATCCTAGGACTAAAACTTAAATTTTCTATGTCACCTCTCCAACACTCTACTTATTTAGCACAAGGAACAGAAGAACTTCAAAAATTATATCAATTTATGTTCTCAGCTACTATACAAAGGAAAGTTCTGAGAGAAGAAAGCCAAGCCAAGCCAACTGTCACAGCATCATTCTGGCAAAACTGAAGAGTATTCAGCAAGATGAATCAAGAGAGCAATTAAGTTTACACACAAGAATACCATCTCACTGACTGTAGAAACTGGGAGATCAGTTTTAACCCTTTACAGTCCAACCTCGAGGCTGACTCAACAGACCAGGCGCTAGGAGCAGGTCCAACGTCGAGCAATAAGAACATTAAAAAGTTCAACATTCAAACCCATCAATTAATTTGGACCAGACTGTTTGAATTCCAAAAATAACAATAGACCGCAAAGGGTTAAAGAGCAGGCGAATTACTAGCTACAATACTCTCTAGCACAGTGGTCGGCAAGCTGCAGCTCCCGAGCCACATGTGGCTCTTTGGACCCCTGGGTGTGGCCCTTCCACAAAACCGGCTCTTCTGCGCACGGGCACGAAGTTTCAATCGCACTGTACGTGTGCACCCGCACGTGGTGTTTTGTGGAGGAGCTGCACTTGGGGGGCCGAGGGGCCGCATGTGGCTCGCGAGCCACGGTTTGCCGACCACGGCTCTAGCATATGAAAAAACCTGACTCCGTCCAGGGTCCTCCGGAGCAAAGTAACATTAGTTATTATGCTCACTTACCTCTCTAGCTGCCAAAACAATGGTAGTCAGTTGAGAGCGATCGCCCCACTCTGCTAAGAATGTTAATGTAAGTGCTTGTACAAAGATGGGTGAAATAAAATGCAGCCACTTTTTCTGAGGTATCGTGCTTGTACCAGTTTCAACATCTCCTGGTCCATTTAAGAGTTTGGTTCGTTGAAACTAAATTAAAACAAAACAAAACACAAAAACCATTGAACTGAACAAAATAACTTAATCTTTCTTTAAAAAGTGTTTAAATTCTATGGATTATTCTCCAAGAAACTAAAGTTATGTGACCCCAAACTTAATTTTTGAATCACTGTCTCACACAGCGACAATACCATGTTCTCAATGCATGCATTCCTCCCCAACAAAACTAATCGAACAGTACTTCCTGGTCCTTTGCTAACCTAGGTACTGTGGGAAAAAGCAGTTTCTGCTTTCAGAAGTGTGTAATTAATCTAAGTGACCTGATTTCACATGTTTAGTATTCAGCCCCACCTCCTCTCTTTACCACATTCACACTAACCCAGAGTCTCATCACACCCAGGTGCAAGAATGAAAACTAAGCAAAATAAGCTATTTTTGTGTATCCTACTAGTACACATCACACAGCTATGGATAACCACCGGAAAACCTCTGGACAGTGTTTATTCTTAGTTGAGTGCCTTTTTGGTCAAGATATTTATCAGTGCTATGACTTACTTCTTCATCTTTTTTCTTTAATTCTGCTTGAACTTCTTCCAGTTCCTCTTGACCTTCATCTGGACTCATCTTTAAGCCTTCCCGGAGCATTCGAATGCCAAAAATGGCAAATAATGCGGTTGAAACATAGTAGGTATACACCCTGGGGATGACTGTGGTGGCATAGCCAAACAAAACTGGAAGAAAATGCCACGGGATATCTCATTAATTAGCAAGTATCACAACCTTCAGAAACCATAATTTACTGTTTTAAAAGAACAGTGGTTTGCATTAGAAGCTAATCTAATGCGTAATAACCTTAAATAATTCCAATTCTTTCCCTTCACCAATATTGAACCCTGAGGTCTAGCCAATGACCTAAGATAGCTTATCAAGAAATCAGTGTTCCTTGCCCAGCCAGCGTGGCTCAGTGGTTAAAGTATCAACCTATGAATCGGGAGGTCAGGGTTCAATTCCCAGTCAGGGCACATGCCTGGGGGTTGTGGGCTCAATCCCCAGTAGGCGGCATACAGGAGGCGGATGATCAATGATTCGCTCATCATTGATGTTTCTATCTCTCCCTCCCCTTTCCTCTCTGAAATCAATAAAATATATTTAAAAAAAAAGAAAAAAAGAATCAGTGTTCCAACTGAAGATGGCACGTGTTCCACAGAACTCCTCTCTAGACATTTTTAGTACTTTAGGTAGAAGGTAAACTTTGTTGTCTTCTAAGGATCCTGAAATCTTATAACCTGGAAGCTACACCAAGTTCCTATGGAAGTGGTATTTCTTCATCTCAAATCTTTAAATTATAAACTTCGATAGTGAAAAACTGTAACAAGATTCTCATATGGTGTGATTTAAACTCTGCTCCTTTGTAACTATTTAAAATAAATCTTACGAAAGAAAATGAATTCCTTATACATATTAAAATAACATTTACAATAAACTCAAACTTATTCAGTAACAATCTTTTCCATTGTTAAGAGGACAATTATGTAAGCTATTCAAAAACTATACTTGGACCTACATCAACAACCCAAATACCGCCCTGGCCGGGTAGCTCAGTTGGTTGGAGAGTTGTCCCAATGTGCCAGGATTGCAGGTTTGATTCCCAATCGTGGCACATGCAGGAGTCAACCAATGAATGCATACATGGGTGGAACAGCAGGTTGGTGCCTCCCCCCCTTCTCTTCCTCTCTAAATATAATTACTCTTCCTTTATAGAATGGGTGCAACACTTATAAATCTGCCTGAACATCAAGTATACAACTACATAGGTGAACTAGTCCCTATTTCATTGTATTACAAAATTGAAAAAAAATTTTAAATCATGTTTAGAAGTGTGCCAAACCTATGCTGATATGCACATCTATATTTGAACTATATTTGTGTAAGTACACACACACAAATGGACATATATTTTCTAGCTCTGTCCAATAAAAGGCCAAGAAGCAAAGACATCTTAGTAACAGCCATTTTTCACCCAAATCTTGTGGGGGTTTTTTTAACCTCTCCTCTTATGTGGCATCTCATCCCTGGGTTTGCATTCCGTGTAGCTCTGCTTCATCTCCACCTTGATAAACGCTGACTTTGGGGAAGTAACTAAAGTCATAAACATATTGGAGTTGTCTGAGAAAGAGAATGAGTTAGGCCCACTCTAGACACAGACCTTACAAAACACCTGTGGCAGCCAGCACCTGGGGGTGCCAGAACACATCTGGCTGCTGTGGCTTCCCATGGCTGGTGGGGAGCAGTAGGAGCGGTTTGCTTGATGCGGGCCATGGGGATGCCTTGTCTTTTGAAAATCAAAACCAATGATAAAATAGACAAATAAAGGTCAACCTGCTTTTTATCACCATCATACACAGGCAAATTTGGACAATGTCAGTGACAAGCTCCTCTCTCTTGGGGCAGGCCTGTCCTCACTGCTGGAGATACCTTAAGATCTCACTAGAGCTGGAGTCAGCAGACATGGGCTAGGTCCTAGCCCTGCTGTCAGGGCCTGCTACCCCCAGATCTTGGTTTCTAATACCATTCCCCACTAACAGGCTCCTAAGAGAAGTGGCTAATTCCAACACTGGGCAGAGAAGATACAAGATGAGTCTGCACTATCGCGTTATAAAGAAAGTAAGAAGAGCAAAAACAAACAATGGGAGCATGTCAGAAGGACACAGGAGCCAGCCTGGAGGGCCCCAGCCGCCAAATCTGGGACAACTTAAGCAACAATATAGTGAAGTAATTATAAACCACTGGAAAAAGAAATTCGTGAGTTTATACTAGAAAGACAAACCAATGGGACAGGAGGAAGAGCTCTTTGTAAAGTAGTATGCAGGGGTCATTGGGAGTGCGGTGGGGTACTGGAGTTAGCCCATTTTGCAAGCATCAAGGGAATATTTAAATCGTAAGGAGTCATCAACTGATACTAAACTGAGGGTAATAGGGTATTTGCACTGTCTTAAAAGTCTCCCTAAAGATTGCATATTAGTTGCAAAGGAAGAAAAAAAGAAATCTTAACTGAGTGAATAAAACTAACATCATAACGAGGGCCAAATAAGATGGTCTTACAGGGTCAAACCTCAGCTATGTACAGTTCTAGTCAAGAATGCATAATCTCTTATTGGTGTTTTGGGTTTCTTAGGATATATTCCTAGAAATTGGGTCACTGTGTCAAATGGCAGTTCTATTTTTAATTTTTTGAGGAAACTCCATACTGTTTTCCATAGTGGCTGGACCAGTCTGCATTCCCATCAGCAGTGTACTAGGGTTCCCTTTTCTTCACATACTCAACAGCACATGTCATTTGTTGATTTGTTGATGGTAGCCATTCTGACAGGTTTGAGGTGATACCTCATTGTCAATTTAATTTGCATCTCTCTGATGATTAATGACTTTGAGCACTTTTTTCATATGACTCTTGGCCATCAGAAAGAATATATGCACCCCTATGTTCATAGCAGCACAATTTATAATAGCCAAGATCTGGAAAGAACCGAAGTGCCCAAGAGTAGATGAGTGGATAAAAAAGCTGTGGTGCCGGCCAGCATGGCTCAGTGGTTGAGTGTCAACCTATGAACCAGGAGGTCCTGGTTAGATTTACGGTCAGGGCACATACCGAGGTTATGGGCTATCCCCAGAGTCTCTCATCATTGATGTTTTTATCTCTCTCCATCTCCTTTCCTTTCTGAAATCAATCTAATCTATCTATCTATCTATCCATCCATCCTATCTAATAAAAGAGAAACATGGTAATTAGTGTACGACCACTACCCTTCCCATTGGCTAATCAGGGCGATATGCAAATTAACTGCCAGCCAAGATGGCGGCCGGCAGCCAGGCAGCTTGAAACTAACATGACGCTTCCTTGCTTCAGTGATGGAGGAAACCAACGTTCCCGCCTGCCTTGCTGGCCTCTGAGCCTGCAGTTTGAAGCACTGTAACAAATATAGAAGCTAAACAAAACCCCAGAAACCTGCTTTCAGCAAGCCGAGCCGGGATCTCAGAGCTGGAGTTATACATTGTTTCGATTATAGAACCTAAACAAACCAGATGCCTGCTTTCAGCAGCAGAGGCCTCAGAGCTGGAGCCAGAGCTAAAGCTGACCCAGAATAAAAAAAGAAAGAGAAAAAGGAGCAGCTGGGAGCTTCCATCACCCGCCAGCCTGAAAACAGCCCTCAGCCCCTCACCCAGACTGGCCAGGCACCCCAGTGGGGACCCCCACCCTGAAGGGTGTGTGACCAGCTGCAAACAGCCACCATCCCCTCACCCAGGCTGGCCAGGCACCCCAGTGGAGACCCCCACCCTGATCCAGGACACCCTTCAGGGCAAACCAGCCAGCCCGACCCATGCACCAGGCCTCTATCCTATATAGTAAAAGGGTAATATGCCTCCCAGCACCGGGATCAGCATGACAGGGGGCAGCGCCCAAACCCCCTGATCACCCTGTGGCTCTGTGTGTGACAGGGGGCAGGGCCACACCTCCCTATCAGCCTTGTTCTGTTCGTGACAGGGGAAGGTGCCCCAACCCCCTGATCAGCCCTGCTCTGTGCCTGATAGGGGGGAGCTCCCCAACCCCCTGATCACCCTGCGGCTCTGTGTGACAGGCTGCGGCGCCCCAACCCCCTGATGGGCCCTGCTCTGTGGGTGATAGAGGGCGGCAACCCCCCCCTCCCCCCGCAACGGGCCCTGCTCTGTGTGTGACAGGGTAGAGCCATAACCTCCCCATCGGCCCTGCCCTGAGTGTGACAGTGGCGGCGCCCCAACCCCATGATCAGCCCTGCTCTGTGTGTGACAGGGGGCGGTGTCCCAACTCCCCTATCGGCCCTACTCTGTGAGTGACTGGGGGGAGCTCCTCAACCCCCTGATGGGCCCTGCTCTGTGCGTGACAGGGGCAAGCTCCCCAACCCCCTGATCAACCCTGCCCTGTGTGTGACAGGGGGGAGCTCCCCAACCCCCTGATTGACCCTGCTCTGTGCGTGACAGGGTAGGGAGCCCCAACCACCCTGATCGGCCCTGCTCTGTGCGTGACGGGGGTGGCGCCGCAACCTCCCTATCGACCCTGCCTTGAGTGTGACAGGGGGTGGTGCCCCAACCCCCCAATCGGCCCTACCCTGAGCGTGACTGAGGGTGGCATTGCAACCTCCCCAATCCGCCCTGCTCTGTGCATGACAGGGGGTGGCGCCCCAACTCCCCAATCGGCCCTGCTCTGAGCCCGACCAGGGGCTGCACCTAGGGATTGGGCCTGCCCTCTGCCACCTGGGAGCAGGCCTAAGCCAGCAGGGCGTTATCTACCGAGGGGTCCCAGACTGTGAGAGGGCACAGGCTGGGCTGAGAGACCCTCCTCTTCCCCCCGAGTACACAAATTTTTGTGCATCGGGCCTCTAGTATCCTATATAATAGAGAAACATGCAAATTAACCATCCCTCTGCTACACTCAAGCCACGCCCACCAGCCAGTCAGGAACAAGTATGCAAATTAACCCAACTAAGACGGTGGTGGTCACAGAGCTGCAGTGAGCAGGAGGCTTTGCTGCCCGTGGCGATGGAGGAAGCTAAGCTTCCTGCCTTCCCTGCCTGGCCCTCAGCTCCACTCAAGGCTACAAAGTTTCAATTATAGAAGATAAATAAATCCCAGAAAAAAAAGGAAAGGCTGGGAGCTTGGGTCGCCAGGGGGCATGGCCAGCCTTAAAACGGCCATCAGCCCCTCACCCAGGCTGGCCAGGCACCCCAGCGGGACCCACCACCCCAACACCCTGAAGGGGCTGTGGCCAGCCTAAAAACAGCCCTCAGCCCCTCACCCAGCCTGGCCACACCCCCATGGGGTAAGGGTCCCCACTGGGGGGCTTGACCAGCCTGCAAACAGCCATCAGCCCCTCACCCCGGCTGGCCAGGCATCCCAGCAGAACCCCACCCTGATCTGGGACACCCTTCAGGGCAAACCAGCCAGCCCCCACCTGTGCACCAAGCCTCTATCCTATATAATAAAAGGGTAATATGCAAATTGACCCTAACAGCAGAATGACTGGGAATGACTGGTCACTATGACACACACTGACCACCACGGGGAAGATGCTCGATGCAAGAGCTGCCCTCTGGTGGTCAGTGCGCTCTCACATGGGAGGAGCTCTGCTCAGCCACAAACCAGGCTGACGGCAGCCAGCACAGCAGTGGTGGCGAGAGCCTCTCCCGCCTCCTCAGCAGTGCTAAGGATGTCCGAATGCAGCTTAGGCCTGCTCCCCACTGGCAAGTGGACATCCCCCGAGGGCTGTCAGGCTACCAGAGGGATGTCTGACTGCCAGCTTAGGCCTGATCGCCCGGGGACCGGGCCTAAGCCAACAGGTGTACATCCCTTGAGGGGTCCCAGACTGCGAGAGGGCACAGACCGGGCTGAGGGACCCCCTCCCAGGGTACAAATTTTTGTGCACCGGGCCTCTAGTGTACACACACACACACACACACACACACGGTATAAACTAGTATATAAAAGCTGTATGTGGTACATTTACACCATGGTATACTATGCAGCTGTAAACATGAATCTCTTATCCTTTGAGATAGCATGGAAGAGCCTGGAAAGTATTGTGTTAAGTGAAATAAGCCAGTCAGACAAAGACAAGTATCACATGATCTCACTTATATGTGGAATCTAATTAACAAAATATACTGATAAAATAGATCCAGAGACATAGAAGTATGAAACAGACCGATAAATCTCAGAGGGAAGGGGGGAGGTAGGTGGGAAGAGATTAACTGGGGAACTTATATGCATATATGCTTAGCCCAAGGACTCAGACAATAATGTGATGAAGGCCTGGGGTGGGGTGAAGGGGGTTAATGGAGAAAAAAAGGGGGGGGACATGATACTTTCAACAATAAAGATAAACTCAAAGAAAAAAAATAAATCTCAATCTAATCATGAGGAAATATCAAACACAAAATGAGTAACAGTCCACTAGAGGGGCTCTATTCTTTTAAAAATGTAAATAGTCTAAAACACAAGAAAAGGCTATGTAAACATTTCAGATTAAAATACTAAAAGATCCTGCTATAGAGAATATTAGGTCAATTAACAAAATATGGGTGATAGATTAAAGTAATGTATCAACCTGTGTATAACGATACATATTAAATTGTGTATAAAGCCCTGGCTGAGTAGCTCAGTTGGTTAGAGCACTGTCCCAGTACCCCAAGGTTGAGGGTTTGACTCCATCAGGACACATACAAGAATTAACCAATGAGTGCTAAATAAGTGGAACAATTAATTGATGCCTCTATCCCCTTCCTCTTTTTCTCCTTCCCCCTGTAAAAGTCAATAAATAAATAATTTTTTAAATGTATATATACATTATACATCTGTAAGATATATAAGTTGTATGTACATGTACACATATATCTATATATACATTGTGTGTGTACATAATTTTATTTAGATTTAGATAAATGGATAGATAGGTCACAAATGCTAAAACAAATGGGGTAAAATGTTAACAGGTGAATCTGGATAAAAGGCATATAAGTATTTTTTGTAGCTTGATAAACTTAAAAGATTTTCCATAAAGAGGTTTTAGTATTTTTTAATGAAATGTAGCAAACCTTTTTAAATGTGTTGAAAACTTAGTTTCCCTTTTATCTTCAGGTAATATTTAAGAAACAACAACAACCTGCGTTACTACTTACCCTTAAAAATCCTATCTTTGGGATGCCTTGACATCTCCACAGACAGCAAAAAACACCTGGTATTCTAGCTGTGATGTTCTTCCCTAGTTACTGTCCCTCTATTTTCTCTTTCTTTGGGAACCTTTCCTCTGATGCTCAAGCACTTTTTCTCTGGGAACAATGAGAGGTTAGGTTACTCTCTTCATCAAGTCAGAAGAGAGCTACAAAAGTATGGCCCTTCTACATCTTGGCAATGTATTTGAAGTGAAGATACAGATTTGGGAATCACTAACTTATATCAGAATTGATTCTAAACCTTGCTCCATACTAGCAATAAGTTGTCATGGACATCTAATCTAATTTTATTATTAATTTTTTTGTGGGAAGGGGATCACAGGAGTCAGCACATCTGGAGTGCAATGGATAAATCTCACCCTGGGAAAACCACCTTCGTAATCATGGTACCTCCCCTGCCAGGTCAGTATATATAAACTAATTTTTAAAATAATAGTTCTATCGCCCTGGCCAGGTGGCTCAGTTAGTTGGAGCATTGTCCCGCAAACTAAAAAGTTGCTGCAGGCTCAATTCTCAGTCACGGCACATACCTGGATTGTGGATTCAATCCCCAGTCAGAACATGCAGGAGGCAACAGATAAATGTTTCTCTCTCTCCTCCTCCTCCTTCTCTCTCTAAAATTAATAAAAATGTGTCCTCAGGTGATAATTAGAAAAAAATAATAGTAACTATAACTCCAGTCATATAAACTGTTAACATTTAGAGACCTAAAGAAAATTTTCAGCATCTTTTAAAACACATTTTATACATATTTTTTGCTCCAAAATAAATACGACAGTGTGATCCAAAAAAGATTTTCAAGTAAAAACTTGTAGTAATTGTTAAAGTTCTATGACAAAAGTAAATGAAAATAATAGAAAAGATCAATGTAAATTTCTAAATGTTAAAGAGTTTATTCATGCTTTTTTAAAGAAATGATGGTGATAGTGGCTATCAGATTGATAATGGTATTTAGAGTCCACTGGGTATGTTTTAAAACAGGGGTGGGGAATATCCAGCCCACTGGCCATAAAAGGCCCTCAAAATCATTTGGTCTGGCCCTTCCAAGGCATTAGGGTGAGTTAAATGTTTGACCAAATATAGCAGGCTAATTCTGTTTAAATATTTATTTTTGACGGTATTACATATGTCCCTAGCAGGCTAATTTTTAAGTTGATAATTTTGTATGGCCCACAAATGATGTTATAAATATCCAATGGCCCTTGGCAGAAAAAAGGTTCCCCACCCCTGTTTTAAAAGAATGCCATATAGTTTTTGTATACTATACCAGAAATTAGATCTCTGCAACTCCTTAGGCTTAATATGACAAGTCTTAGATCACTTCAATGTGACAGGAGGTACATACTTTTTCAAAATTATTTTAGATACACAAGGAAAAGATTTGAAGACCACAAATAAAACCTATCCTTTCTATAGAACAGGTGAGAAGAGCTGTCAGACACCACCAGCAGGTAGAGCAGCAGTTCTCAACCTGTGGGTCACGACCCCTTTGGCGGTCGAACCACCCTTTCACAGGGGTCGCCTAAGTCTTAGGCCCTAAGACCATCCTGCATATCAGATATTTACATTACGATTCATAACAGTAGCAACATTACAGTTATGAAGTAGCAACAAAAATAATTTTATGGTTGGGTCACAACATGAGGAATTGTATTTAAAGGGCCAGAAGGTTGAGAACCACTGAGCTAAAGGGAGGTGGGCTGAGGATCAGGACAGGAGATAGTAACCCTACTTAGAGCTGAGAAAATGGGTATGAACACAAAGACATCAGGGGATTGATGGAGCCAGCTTCTGGTGAGGGAATGGGCAGAGAGGACAGCCTTCTAGTTATCTAGAAGCTCAAAGTTTCAAAAATAAAATTCTCTGATTTACTGAAACTCATTCCAAAAAAGTAACTTTACCATTTACAACTCTCCCCACTTTTCCCATTTCCTATCAAAATTTACTTTTGAAGAGAAAACTGTTTTTACTGTGAAATATGAATAACACTAATGCTAATTTCTAAAATATGAATAGTCAAATTAATTTAATCATTAAAATACTCGTATGTTTTGAAAGACGTAAACTACTACAAGCATCTAAGCAGCCAGAAATAAAAACTGCTGAGGGAAGAACAGGGGTGAATGACTGAGCACTGTGACCCTATAAGGCAGGTAGACACTATTTCCATTTTACAAATGGGGAACCTGAAACTCAAAGAGGTGAAGTAACTTATCATTCCACTAACACACGGCACAGTCAGAGTCTGGCCCAAGCCTGACTCTAAGGAGGAAGCTTACTATTTTCTACCCAACTACGTGGCACAAGGCTGCTTCTGAATCAGAGACTAAATTATGTTTAATTACTGAATGGTAAGTTTACTTTCTCATGGTCTAATTCTTTGAAAAGCAAGCCTATGTATTAGCAGCACAAACTAGGAATCTAAGAACGTTTCACTCTTTTACTATAATGGGTAACAACAGCTTAATAGAACACAATAACCCAAGAGTTTTTCCACAGTTATTGATATCAAATGTCCTTCAACAGAAGAATATGCAATTCTCTGTGGCTGCTTGAGTTCTACTTGTAAGATATTAGACATAAATAAGCTTATCTGGAATGAAAAGGAAAAAAAAGCAAGAATACACAGCAAAAGTAAGGATTCTAATCCAGTGAATAAATGAGGAGTATGTATCTTTATTGAACAGCTGAACATTTAATTTTAAATGCAGTATAGTTTTCAGGAATTTAGGTACTAAAACCATTTTCTTTTTACAAAACTCTGGAACATCAACCAAATTCCATGATTAATTGAATGATTCAGTGACTCAATATCAAACACCATGCTGTTGCTTAAAACCAATAAACTTATTAGGAGGAAAAGGACACTTACCTGATAAACACGTCATCAAGCCCAAGGCAAGCATAGCACCAGCCAACACTGTCAAACGGTTATAGCGCATTGCCATAATGGCTGCTATAAAAAATGTCTTATCACCCAGTTCAGATACAATGATAACTGATATGGCAGCAACAAATGCATGGATAAACCCCAAATTAGTTTGGGTATCTGTATCTTCTTTATTGGTATGAACTGGGACAGCTGGTGTGAGTCCTTTCTGAAATAAAAAAAATATATATACATCAGCTATTTTTTTAAAGAAGTCATTATTTACAATTCTTTTATTTTGTATGTGAATTAAGATGTTTTTTACTGTCATGGTCATTAGACTTATTTACTGTGTAATCACTTTGAAAGCCATCAGTAATCACAGAACCCTCTAATTGATGATTGCTACAATGCAGATCCAAGTACAATTCTACAAAACTATTTTTAAATAATTGTAGACCAACAATATCCACACATAAAAATTACCTCATTTTCTAAGAATTTGTGAGCTGAGATTAAGTTCTTAGCTTTTTATTTGTAACTGGTGTGAAAGACCAGGGTATGCTTATCAAATATCCAAATAACAAGAAGCTGAGATAAATTTCATTAACACTTTAGAGGACAGGGTAAGATTCAGAAAGCTCTCAACAGGCTGGAGCAAAAGTTGACTGTAGCTAAGATGAGGTCTAATATAGCTGGATATATCGATGGTCCTACACTAACAGCTAAAAATATCCTAAGAGATAATATGGCCTGATAAAAAGACAAACCAGTGCTTTGGTTGATATTCAAGTTGAAAATGTGACAAAGCTCCAAAAGGGCAACAAGCACTTTAAGCACTTTAAAGCAGCGGTCGCCAACTGGTGGTCCGTGAGGTCTGAAAGGTTGGCGACCGCTGCTTTAAAGAGTTAGTGACATGTCCATCATTCTACAATGCTCATTCTTTACCAGTGGTTCTCAACCTTCCTAATGCCGCGACCCTTTAATACAGTTCCTCATGTTGTGGTGACCCCCAACCACAAAATTATTTTCGTTGCTACTTCATAACTGTAATTTTGCTACTGTTATGAATCATAATGTAAATATCTGATATGCTATATTTGTTTTCCGATGGTCGCGACCCACAGGTTGAGAACCGCTGCTTTACCCAAAGTTGCGCACTGGTTCTGAGGCACCACATTTTTAATATTTTATTTTTTATTGATGTTATTTGTTAATTCATACTAGGACCGGTTCTGAGGCACCACATTTAAAAAAAAACTAATCCTAAAATTTATATGGAACCACAAAAGTCCCCAAATAGCCAAAGGAATCTTGAGAAAGAACAAAGTAGGGATCATGCTCCTTGATATCAAACTATATAATAAAGCTACAATCAAAACAGTATAGTACTGGCATAATCACACACACACACACACACACACACACACACACACACACAATCAATGGCATCAACTAGAAATAAATCCTCACTTATAGTCATCCTATAACAAGGGAGGAAATAATATACAATGGGATAAAGACAGTCTCTTTAATAGGTGGTGCGGGGAAAACTGGACAGATACAAGCAAAAAAATTAATCAAAGATATGATTCATGCATGCACATGCACAGACACAGGCATATTGTGAAATCTTGTCATTTGTGACAACATGGATGGGCCTTGAGGATATTTTGCTAAATGAAATGTCAGACAAATACTATATGGTTTCACTTACTTACGGAATCTAAAACAAAACAAAACAGAAAATAGACCTATAGATTGAGAACAAGCTGATGGTTACAAAGGGAGAAGAGAATAAGATTATATCTATATCTATATATTATCTATCTATCTATCTACCATCTATCTATCTATAGAAAGAAACCAATTCCTTTGTAGGCTCTAAGTCTTCAGATAAATACAACCAGAAAGCGCTCTGCAATTATGCATTCACTACCCAGAAGTATAGAGTTAACAACTGTGGGGCAATCTCTGACCGATGAGGGAAGTTGGTTCTGAGGTTCATTCTATAAGGCTCCTTCCCAGTCTCAGCAGAATTCAGTACTAGTCACTCATGCAAAGGCTAACTTGAAAATGCAGTGGGGTACATGCATTTACCTCCTTCCCTGGACTGACAATGTGAAAGAATACTGGCATGTTCTGAGAACAGGAAGCAAACCATCAGATGAATGACTGGGGTAGCAAGATAAAAAAGGGCCCAGACTGAAAATCCTGTATGGTTATGGTCCAGCTTAGAGGCAAGCAAGAAGCCTTTAGAAGTTTTTGAGTAGAAGACACAAACATGATTAAAGCACTGTGACTTATACTACTGTACATCAGGGCTAAAAAAGAATACCAGCCACCAGACCAATTAATTAGGAAGTCAGCTGCTCAAAACCAATGTTAATAATAGGGAAGGAAAAAAATTCTGTACATTGTGGAAAGAAAATCAACAGAACTTTAAAAAGAGGGGAGAATCAAAGATGATGGTTAAGGTTTTCTATCTGGTTGACTAAGAGAAATACTAGTATTCCTACAAGATATGTGGGAAAGAGGAATAAAAATAAGGGATTTGGTTTCAGACACATTCAATTTGAGGTGATAAAAAAGCATTTTAAATGAAGGTTTCCAAGAAGTCATACAAATGGGACCCCTGATTTTAGCCTCAGAGCATGTAACTGGGAGCCTAAATTTATCAGTTAGAGCTTTGCAAGTAGACGAAATTCCCATAGGAAAAGGCCTAGAGATTAAGTTGAAAAGCCTTAGGGAATGTCTATATTTAGGGAAAAGGGGGTGGGAGAAGAGAAAGAAAACAAAAACTGTTTTAGATATTTAGAAAGCCAGGCAAGAGAACACCACAGATGGTCAAGATAGAAACAAACACCATTCACTGAGCTACTTACTAATTAGATGCCAGGTATTTTCATATACATTGTTCAAATACTCAAAACCTTAAGAACTGTCATCCCAACTTAACACAAGAGGAGTAACAGAGGACCAATAATGTTAAATAATTTTTCCCACGTTCATACAGCAAAGATGGGGTCCAACTCTTCAAAAAGTAGAGGTAAGTGTCAAAATGAGAACTGAAAAATAACCCTGAGTTTAGCAATTAGGTAAGGTAAAGTTATACTTCAAAAATGAAATTTCAATAAAAAGTCAGGGGCCCAGCCCTAGCTGGGTGGCTCAGTTGTGGAGCACTGTCCCATACAACAAAAGGTTGCAGGTTCGATTCCTGGTCAGGGCACATACCCAGGTTGCAGTTTTGATCCCCAGTTGGGGCACGTATGGGAGGCAACCGATCAATGTTTCTCTCTCACATGGATTTTTTTCTCTGTCCCTGCCCCCTCCCCATCTAAAATCAGTAAAAACATATCCTCAGGTGAGGACTAAAAAAAGGAATAATAAAAAGACAGGGGCTCAAGCCAGACAATGGAAGACTAAAGCAAAGTAAAAAAGCAACTAATTTCCTAGATAGAAATTTGGTTGATAAAACTGAATAGAAACTACAGGCATACCTCAGAGATACTGTGGGTTCAGTTCCAGACTACCACAATAAAGCGAGCCTCGCAATAAAGCAAGTCGTAATCTTTCTGCTGGTGGAGGGTCTTGCCTCGAATTTGTAAAGAACGCAACACCTGTGAAGCGCAACAAAGTGAAGCGCAATGAACCGAGGTATGCTTATAATGCAGTCAAAATGAGTTAAATCAATGGCCTTCTTTCTTTCCCCAAGTAGGAAAGAACCTATGGGCATGTGTATGCAGACAGGAACCAATAGAAAGAATAAAGATATTGAGGAAAAAAAATACTGGAGGTCAGAGAAAAGGTATGGGAAGGATGATAGTTCTGTCCAGTCTAAAGGCAGAAGGTATGGGCAGAGAAGCAAATACTTAGATGTGTACAAGAGAGTCAGATGCGGTGACTATCATTTCAATTCTGATACTCCACTCTTCAATTATACTATAATGAAATAGTAATGAAATACAGTGTTTTCCTTGGTACAAATACCACTGTTTCATTTTATTTTGGGTCTGAAATCCAAAACATTTACATCTTGAAAGCAGGGTCAACAAATTAAAATTAGAAATTAACTTGCTTTATTCAAAGTTAAAGTTAGTTCCAAATTGGAGAACTGTAAAAAGAAAAAAGTATGCTCATTTAGAAAGTATTCTTTTCTACTTTCATGATCTTCAAGGAAAAAAAATAAGTCAATAATGAAAAAATAATTCCTTCTAGTTCTAGAGTTCAAATGAACACATATGTTTGACTACTGAAACATAACAAGATACCTACATCAGAATCTTCAGCTATACAAAATACTAGGGAAGATGAAGATACTTTCTTGGAAAAAAGACTGATATGCCTGCAAAAAAAAACCCAAAAAGTACTGAACAAAAGTTACCACACAAGAGGTTAGATTATTTAAAGATAAAAGAGTCAGAAGGAAATGCTTAGAATTGCCTTAAAACTGTCTCCTAGCCATTACTTTATTATAAGAAGCCAGAAAACCTTTTTCAGAAGTTGGAAAGTGTGCACAAAAATATACATTCAACTTCAACTATGACACCATGCATAAACCTGGTTTTTAAAAATTGCGCTACAATAAAAGATTATATTTTATTATAAGTTTTCACTATCAGTCGGGCTGGCATGGCTCAGTGGTTGAGTGTCGATCTATGAACCAGGAGGTCAGGTTCGATTTCCAGTCAGGGCGCATGAGGGTTACAGGCTCAATCCCCAGGAGGGACCAGGGAGGAGGTAGCCAATCAATGAATCTCTCTCATATTGATGTTTCTATCTTTCTCTCTCTCTCCCTTCCTCCTCTCTGAAATCAATAAAAATATATTTCAAAAAAATAAATTTTCACTATCGTTTCTTTTCATGAATGGTGTAGTCTGTTTTTTTAAATATTTTATTTTTTATTGTTACTTGTTAATTCATACTAGAATAATACATATTTAACAAATACATTTTTATTTTAATGAATGTTTTAACAACTTTATTTTTATGAATGTTGTTTTTAATGGATTAATAAATTTGGACATTTGAATGTATTAAGTGTTTCACTGATTTTAATGAATTGCTTTGATGGTAGAACACCAGGCAACGAATTTGGCAACATAATGTTCACTTCATTCTGACACAGCAATCCTGAGCAAGAAAAGCATTCTCACATCTCCTGGCCTCAATCTTAGCTATAGAGAGGCTAGAACTGGGAGACTGGACTGCAGGAAGCAGAACTGTTAACTTAATGAAAATGAAAAAAAGTTCAAATATTGTGTGGAAGGCCTTCTCACAGTTAAAAGATAATAAATAAAAGAAATGCCAAGAAACAGTAAATATCAAGAATTTGTACGGGGTCAGATAATAGGCTTTATCAACAGTGCTACTTAACCAGAACAGTTCTTGGGATTTCTAGAATATGCAGCAAATTACAAATTACCTTTATTAAATCTATCTAACCTCCCTCAACTAAAAGGACTTAATGCTTCTTATATTACACACTTAGCTTAGGGAAGGAATAAAAAAACCTGAGTAAGTCACTAGAAGCATTAACTGCATAAATGAATACGAATGATCAACAGTACTTCTTTTCATGAGTTTGTATACTGGGGTTTAATTCTCAAGTTCAAAGTGAACTCCCCCAACTTTTATCTGATCATAGAGGAAAAAAATTCCCAAAGTAGAAAGCTGTTAGAAATTCAGTTATCTTGCTTCAAAGCACCCTGTAAGATATAACTACATTTTAATAATACATCTTTCACTTGAATGATGACCAGTAAAGGAGAGATTTCTCCCCCTCCATTTTCAGAAATCCACTGTCACAGTGGCATGAAAAGGGTAAGTTTAAATAGCCAACCTTTAAAAAATGTCTTTTAACATGCTGTAGTACTCTAAGTAGAGAAAATAGTTGAGCCTATCAAAAAAATTACATGAAAATATAATTAAAACAATTGGATTCTACTATGATATAGAAATTAGAATATATTCCTATCAAAAATATATCAAAATATTAAAGACAAAAATCATATACTGTGCCTGCCCCTTGCCTCCACATCCAATTTCAAAGACAAGGATCCTTAAGGCCACTTAAATATGCTTACTAGATACTGATGACTTTATTTTATAAGACTAGATTTTTCACCCAAGTTGCCTAAAGGGTATTATTTTTGTATCTCAAAAGTTGTTGTATGACTAAAACTGTAATGAAAGGCCTAGAAAATTACATTCAAAATACCTGATCTCTCACTCACAAAGTTATTACTTAGCCCAAAATAATTACTGTTTGAGAAAAAAAAAGAAAAAAAAAGAAACTTGCAATGAGTTAAATGACAGGAGGCTAAATGATAAACTCTATGAATAAATGTCATGAATCAGCATTTCGGAGCTGGAAATGGCAAACAGGGTCAACTCCGCCTAGGAGCGAGGAGCCAGAGAGAAACCCCTTTGAAGGAGGTAGGGAAGCCCTCCCAGAGGGGAGGTATCCGCTGGTTCTTGGAAGGTGGGCAGGTTCTGACCAGTGGGCTTCCAGCCCACCCCAGCCTTTTTCGGGAGACCCTTTGTTGGAGAGCCTTGCCACCGAGCACATGGCACGGTCTCCGGTTCGAGTGGAGCACGTGGGCACGGGAGCGGTGACTGGAGAGCCTGGAGCCCGATCCTGCAGAAACCTGAACATCCTGCTGGAGAAGCTGGCCAGCCATCAGCAGGCAGGGGCCACTCGGGGAACATTTCCGAGAAGTAAAACTGAGCTCAAAGTTTAGGAAGATTCGCCGGGTGGCGACCGGCCCGGTGTCGCCTCGGGTGGAAGGAGTGGGGGTGGGGGGCTGGAGTGCCAGACGCAGGACAGAAGACCTGAATTCAGGCATTCAAATGGGAAGTGAGGAGACAGCCCGGGACTGGTCTAGGCAGGAAATGCTGAATTTGAATACAAGCGACCAGGTGGTTCTAGTAACATCCACTCAGACACCCACGGATCCCTCCTTAGGGGAGAGGCCACCGGGCGCTGGGCGCACGGACATGTCGAGCGGTGGCCCCCTCGCCGCCGCAGCCCTCGGGCTACCGCCCAACACCGACCATCCCCCTGCGAGCCTAAGGGCCGCTTCCCGCGGGCAGGAACACGTTCTTAAAAAGTGAGAGTCACGCTCCCAAAACCCAGGTACGTACATTTGTCAAAAGACAAGACAAAAAACACAAGTCCGGCAAAGCTGAATTGGGGCCAACAGCTCGGGATAAGCTGCTCCGACAATGCAAAGCCCGGCGTTCTTTCGCCCTGGGAATAACGAAAAGCCTCCCGGCCGCCCTCGGGGCTCAACTTCCCGCTCGGGACGAGTGTTCCCCAAGCACCTGGCCGACCGGACCCCGTTCCTCAGCAGCATCCCCGGCCCCCGAGCCGCGGGATCTCCGCGGGCTCCGTCCCTCCCCCGCCGCGCGCGGAGCCGGGCGCGGCCGGGCCTGACCCCGGAAAAGCGCCCCGCCGTCTCCCACCCACCGGGAGCCAGGCCGGGCTCCCTCCCCTCCCCCCTCCCCCGCCCGCAGCCCCGGGCCGAGGGCGGCGCTCCCGGCGGCCGCGAGCCGGGTACCCGCAGCCTCGCCCGCCCCGGCCCGCCCGGCTCACCTCGGCCCGCGGCGGCTCGGGGCCCTGCGCGGCCACGGGCTGGGGCTGCAGCTGCTGAGCGGGCGCCGGCGGCTCCTTGTTCCGGAGGCCGTCTTCGTCGGGGACAGCCCGGACCCCGGCCGGGGCCCACAGCAGCGGAAGCAGCAGGAGCAGAAGCAGCCGGGGCGCAGAAGCGCGGCCGCTCCCCCGGGCCGCCGCCATCCCGCCCACCGAGACGGCCGCCGCAGGAGGAAGTGTGGGCGACGGGAAGCCGCGACCGCGACCGCGACCCCCTCCGCGGCGCCGCCCCGCAGGCCTCGCCGCCGCCGCCTAAGGATGGCTCGGCACCATGCGGGAGGTGGCGGTGGCGCCCTCGGCCGCCCGCTCGCGCTCCCGTCTCCCGCGGTGGCCACACGACTCCGCCGACTGTCTCCGGGCGCCCCGGCCCCGATTCCTCCGGGCCCCGCCCCTGCCCGTGCCGGCCTCCCATTGGCCTGGCGTCTGCCTCGGCGTCGTGACGTCGTCGGGCAGGTTGAGGTGCGGCTCGCGCGCTCTTCCCATTGGACCCGGCGCTCCGGGCAGGTACCTTCGCCACGTTCCTTTCCTCTCCTGCATCCTCCTCGCGCCCCACCCTGGACCCTCTTCCTCGCCCTGTGCCCACCCACCCGGGACTGCGCGGCTCGTTACTTCTGCCCCCTCCCGAGGCTCCTGCCCTGACAGCCAGGCCGGCCTTGCCTTTCTCTTTACCTTGCCTAGATGTCACACCAGCCCCCGCGCCCCGGTTACGTGGCACTTGGCGGCGAGAACCACCACACCTGGCCCGGTTCCGCGCTCCCTCGCGGGTTCTCGACGCCGCCTCCCTCCGTCTTGGCGATCTACGGAGGACAAGGTTCTTAGAGGGCCTGGAGGCGATTATTTAAACAAACCTCTGGAATAGGACTTCGGCTGGAACAGACGAAAAATGTCAAGCCTTGTTTTAGATACTATCTGTTTGCCAATAATCACACCCAGACCCAAGACATCGAACGTTGCCCTTGTCCTGCAAGCCTTTCCGTTTTTGGATGTTTTGTGTTGCATCTATTTCAGACTGGCCTCTTAAAATGTTTGGCTTTTGAAAGGAAATGTTTGGAATTTTTGAAGGATGGAGATTAAGGAGGGCAAGAGTAGAAAACAGGAAAGGGTGGTTGGTTGGGCTAGAGAATTTTTTTACATTTTATACTTTTAAAAAAGTTGAGCAATGTAGTTACCCAAAGTTTCACTGAGATAGTGCTAACCATGTGCCAGGCACTCTTCCAAATACTTGACATATGTTAAACTTGTACTTTGTCAGGAACGGAGGAAGCTTATCACTAAATACTGGAACAAGAAATGAATCCACCAGAACTGTGGCAAAGTGGACAAAGGTACAGTACTTTGCGTTCACTGAAGAGCCATCTTATGTCTCGGGTCAGTAAAACTTTGGCCATGCTGTTCTTCCATCTGTAATGAACTTCTTCCATTCTATCACTGTAAACTACTCATTCTTCCAAAACCTGTTCAGGCCAATACCTCTTCTTCTTTTTTTAAAATATATTTTATTGATTTTTTTCAGAGAGGAAGGGAAAGAGATAGAGTCAGAAACATCGATAAGAGAGAAACATCGATCAGCTGCCTCCTGCACACTCCCCACTGGGGATGTGCCCGCAACCAAGGTACATGCCCTTGACCAGAATCGAACCTGGGACCCTTCAGTCCGCAGGCCAACGCTCTATCCACTGAGCCAAACCAGTCAGGGCCCAATACCTCTTCTTGCAGAATTCATCACTCCTTGCTTCCTGCCACTGTAGCTTATGCACGCGTCTGTTACTGTGGAAGTAACCAGGATTCCTCTTACACAGTTTCAGGGACAACTGTCGTGCCCCCCAGCTCATCTCTAGAGTGCAAATGTTTGAGCCCTCACAGACCCGTAATAGGAAACCCAGAAGTTCAGACTATCCTCCCTCCAACTCTACCCCTGTGCATACAGGATTCACTGTGCTTAAGAGGTACCTGGAAGAGAACCTAGTAGGTCAGTCTCATGGCTGAGGCAGAGGGTAAATGCGGCAACATTGGCCATGTGTCCCTGTTTCCTGGAAGGTGCTTGGCATATTTTTCTGGGGATGGCCCACCCCCACCCCAGAGCTCTCCAATAGGAAGTGCTCCTGGCCAAATTCCTAGTAACAGCAGATGAGGCAGCAAGGACTTAGGGTTACAGAGAAGGAGTTGGAGGGAGGACAGTCTGGACCTTAGGGTTTATTACTGGTCTGTGAGGGCTCAAACATTTGTGTTCTACAAATGAACTGGGAGGCACAACAGTTGTACCCCAAACTGTGCAAGAGGCATCCTGGCTACTTCCACAATAATAGGCTGCCTATGCACTGGCCAGCTGTGTGAGGTGGCTCAGGGAAAAGGCAGCAAGGCAGAAGATGTAAACAGAGATAAAGCATTGTGCCCATGGGGAACCCGCCCAGTGCGGTCAGTGCAAGGTCAAGAGTGTGGGCCAGAGTGGAGTCTTGCCAGCCTGTCCCCATGTCACCCTGATCCACGGGCCCTCCGGTGCTGTCAGTCTAGGCTCCAGGTGTCAGATTCCAAAGTGATCAGCTCTTTCTGTGCTCAGTAGTGCTAAACCAGGGCTGGTTCTAGCTTTCACTATTTTGAGGATTTAAAGCCATCATTAGGCCATGCTGTTCTTCCTGGTGACTATTCCTCCCTGGTGACTAACTCCTTTTAAAAAACAAAACAACAGCCCTAGCTGGTTTGGCTCAGTGGATGGAGCATCGGCCTGAGGACTGAGGTTCAGCCCGGGTTCGATTCTTGTCAGGGGCCTTGGTTGCAGGCTGAGTGCGGAAGGCAACAGAATTGATGTGTCTCTCTCTCTGTCTTTCCCCCTCCCTTCTACTCTCTCTAAAAATCAATGGAAAAATGTCCTTGGGTGAGGATTAACAAAAAACACAAAACCCCACCACCAACAAAACCCCAAATACCAACAAACAAAACCATAGGCATGTCCTGATACCTTTCTTGGTGAACAATTTGAGCTGCTTACTTGACCCCCACCCAATAAGATTATGGAAGGGTCTCCAATTCCAAGATGATTGGTTTTTTGTCCTGGCCTACATGGATATATAGTCTCACTAAAATGTAACCACTTGCAGGCACCCTTCTGGTAAGAAACCCTACTACATGTGCATTACGTTGTATTTTAATGTTTATTATTCCTACCTCTTGACTGAATCTTAAGCTTTTAGGTGGTAAGATTATATCTTTTATCTTTATATCCCTAGCACCCAGATTTCCTAACATGGTAATAGTGATAGCCATCATTACAGTAGTAACAGCAGCAGGCACTCTTTATTGAGTGCCTGTGCTGATCCAGGCAGTGCACCGGATGCGTTGCTTGAATGACCTCACAAGGTAGGTACTATGATCCTCATCTTTACAAATGAGAAATTTGAGACGGGTCAGGTGAGTTTCCCAAAATTACAGAGCTAGGTAGTGGCAGGATTGTGCTTGATATCTGTTTGTTGAACTTACCTGTGCCCTACTTACTGAAAATCCAATTATTTTAAATCCAGCCAATTCATGGTGAACGTTTTCATTTTCTAGTAGAGGAGAAGGCCCTGTCTCCGCTTGCTGGGTCCATGAGGAGGACGGCTTTCTGTCCCCTCTCGGAGCCTTAACCATTTCACCTCTGGTGATGAAAGGAAACTGGGTAGAGTGACTGAGCATTCTAGGCTCTAGGCTCGGCTGTGCCGCCTTTTTCCTCTCGGGAGGTGCAGCCCACAGAGAAAAACAGTTTCCTCTGCTCTCCCTCGGGGCTGCCTGCTCCCAGCCCAGGGCAGCTTGCTTTTTGATTTTTATTAAAATACAATTGAAGTTATTCCTTCCAACCTGGCTTCCCATCTCTCTCACTATTTTCTTCCCTAACTTTTCAGAAGGAGTAAAGAGGCAAGCTATTTCCTGAGCTTTCTTAAAGACCTCTCCCCACACCACCCCCCTCCCCGCCATCATCAAAAGGCGGACTAAAGCTTTTTACTTTACACAGCCCACAGAGTAAAGGCTGGTTAGAGAAGCCAGGACAGGGATGATGAGAATGGAGAGGGGAAAGCAGAAACGAGAAACTTTATATACTAAGAGTCAACTGAAGGTCATTCATAATGAAAGAGAAGGCACTTGGCAAATTGAAATGTAAGTTAATGACAAATAGCAACTTACAACCTACTTGACCTTCTCAACTCTAAAGCACTTCTGCTGTGTCCACCGAAGCATACTACTACCCATAGGCACACTAAAACCCTTATTAGATGGTGGCACCTGGCCCCTTGGAGGGGACCTCTGTTGGTCCTGAGGAAGGGGGAATCTGCCCTTTCAGGCCCATTCTTGGACTTTTCTGGGCTTCTACAGTGGGAAGAAACTTCAAAAAGGAATGCTAAATCTGTGCTCCAAGAATTCTCATTTGTCCAACTATTTGCTTCCCATTTCCATCTGGATGTCTCACAGGCATTTCAAACAAAGCCTGGGCAAAATAGGTCTCTGATTCCCCTCCAAACACTGGATCCTTCCTCAGGCTTCCCATCTCAATGAATGGAACTAGCAACCCTATTAGATCCCTCTTATTTTTGCCTACCCCACATTCAACCCACCATCAGGTTCTGTTGGCTCAACCTCGAAGATAGACCCTGAATCTGCTCACCTCTCTCTATCTCTGCTGTTACCACCTTATCCAAGCTAGGTGTCATCTCTCACCTGGACTATTAAAATAGACTCCTAAATGTTCTCCCTGCTTCCACTCCTCCCAGTCTATAATCTACCCAACAGCCGGTGTGAGCTCTCAAAATTAAATCATTTTATTCTCCTCCTTAACATTATCTAAAAGCCCTTAGAATAAAGTCCAAAGTCCCTGTCTCTGAATTAAAGGTCTGTATGAGCTAACCTCTACCTTATGTGTGACTTCATCTCTTGGTTTTCTCTACCTCATGGTGCCAGGCCCAAGCAAGCTGGTTTCCTCAGGACCTTTGTCCTTTCTGTTTCTCTTCTTAGAACACTCCCTTTCCAGGTCTACTGATCATTGGAGTAAATCTCACCTCCTCAAGAGAGATCTTCCTGCCCGTCCATCTAAAGCACAGACTTAGCATTCCTCTTCCCACTGTAGAAGCCCAGAAAAGTCCAAGACCCCTCCCCTCGCCCTGTCACTCTCTATCTCACCCTTTAAAGCAAAACATTTTAAAGCTTTTTTTTTTAAATAGCACTTATCACTATCTGAAATTACCTTATGTAATTGTTTACTTGTTATGTTTATTATCTGCATCCAGCAATTGAAATGTAAACTCCTTCAGGGCAGAAATATTACCTATTCTGCCCACTGTATTCCCAAGGCCTAAAACAGTGTCTGGCCATGGAAAATACTAATCACTAGTTTGATGAAATTTTAAGAATAAAAA